AGGACGACCTCTATGCCTCCTTGATGCACGCAGCGATGAGTGGCATGATCTTGGGAGTGGTTGGTGGGCCGAACTGCAGGACAAGAAGCGTGTTGAGGCACTACCCACTTCCGGCGGGCCGACCAAGGCCAGTGAGGAGCTCGGATCCGGAGCACTGGTTTGGGTTGCCGAATCTAGACCCGGAGGAGAGAACGCAGGTGTGGGAGGACGACGTGCTCCTGTACCGCATGGTGATGATCTTCTGTGCGGCGGAGGAAGGTCGGAAGAGATGTGCATCCTGCAGCTCTGAGAAGAAGCGGGTGGCTTTCCTTTTGGAGCAGCCGGAGGCCCCGGACTACGTGCCGGAGTGTGGTTCCTGGTGGAGGACAGACAGCTATCAAAGGCTGAGAGATGATCATGGGCTGGTGGAGTACCGGTTCAGGCAAGGTGACTATGGAGGAGCCGCGGTCAAGCCGACAATGGTGGCCACGAACCTACATCTGGAGATGCCGACGGCTAGATCCACGACGGCAAGAACAAGGAGTGAAGCGCCGGTGAAGTCGTCAGCGGATTTGTCAAGGTGGGCCCCAGGCATGATGAGGGAGGTTGCCCGGGCGGTGCAGGAGGAGGTGTTCGGAAAGCCAGCGAGGAATTGCAAACTGAGTTGGCGGGAGCACCTATTGCACGGGCATACCCCCTTCAGGCGGGACTGCCGGGTCTGTCAGGAGGCGTCTGCTCGGGGAAGGAGGCATTGCAAAATTGCCTATCCGGAAGCAGCGGTGTTGAGCTTGGATCTCAGCGGTCCGTTCCGGCCGGGCAAGGACATCAACGATGCCACGGTGAGCTACTTTCTCATCGGAACGTACACTTGGCCCGTGGAGGAGGAACCAGGGAAGCCGTTTCCGGAGGAGGAAGAAGACGAGAAAGTGAAGGAAGAGGACCTCCCGGTGATCGAGGAGGGCATCCAAGAAGAAGAAAGAGCGGAGGAGCCGGAACGTGGAGAACCAGATCTACGAGACGCCCGTGGTGAAGGGAGAGGAGATGAGGAGCTTGCAAGAGAGGAGTGTGGAGAGCCAAGGCCCCTCAAGGTCATTGTGAAGGTGATCCCGCTGCCAAACAAGAAGGCAAAGACGGTGCTGGAGGGTATCCAGGACATCTACATCCAGTTGAAGAGGCAGGGGTACCCTGTTCAACGGCTCCACACGGACCGCGGAAAGGAGTTCCTCAACCATGATCTTCGGAGCTGGTGTCTCGTGAGGGAGGTGGCGAAAACCACCACTAGCGCGGACTCCCCGCAAGAGAATGGAAGGGCAGAGGCCTGCATTGCTAGCTTGAAGAGCAAGGTGAGGAGGCTGCTACGAGGGGCCGAGATGGACGTGAAGTTCTGGCCCATGGCGGCGAGGTATGCGGTGGTGGCGGAAGAAAAGAGGACGAAGGGAGAAAAGATGGTGGCGGCGTTTGGGGAGGAGGTTTGGGTCCCGAAGAGGTCATGGAAGAAGTTGAGGGATCCATTCGGTCCAACTCATGAGAAGGCGCGCTACCTGGCGGAGGTCCCAGAGGTGACGAAGGGGCATGGAATTCTTCGGCAAGATGGCAAGGTGGAGGTGGTGTCCAAGGTGATCACTGGGGTAAGAGAACCTCGAGATGAGGAGCAGGTGGATGCCATTGATGATCATCGAGTCAGGAGGAGGATTAGAGGGAAAAGAGCTGCAGAGGAAAGAGACGAAGACCGAAGGAGGCTGGAAGCACTCAGACAGGTCATCTATGAGGAGCAGCTAGCGGTGGAAAAGGATGAAGGAGAAGTGCTTGGAGTTACGGCCGTGAAGGTTCGGGAGTTGCAGAAGGAAGAGGAGAAGCTGATTGAGGAGCTTCCGGGCGCAGAAGAACGGCAAGTTCTCCAAACAAGGATGGTGGGACAAGCAGAAGTGATGAAGAATCGTGAGGAGTGGCTGCCGGCAATCAAGGCCGAGATGCAGTCGCTGCTGGAAGAGAAGAAGGCGGTGAGGATCGTGAGTCAAGGGGAGGCCAAGGCCATGATGGATGACCCCATGATCAAGGTGGAGGTGATGCCTGGAAAGATGGTGACCACCATCAAGGCGCCAGCAGGAAAGAAGAAGTGTCGGTTGGTGATCTGCGGAAACTATGCAGAGGGTGGCGGAAAGGAGCAGGAGGAGTCGCTTTACGCGGGCGGCTCAGACGCGATGTCAATCCGAACGGCAACGAAGTATGCCGCGGAGAGAGGATGGGCCGGCATGGTTTTGGACATCAAGACCGCTTTCCTCAACGCTCCTCTGCAGTCGGTGATGAAGGAGGGCCAGGGCACCAAGGTGGTTTTGATGAGGCCGCCAGCGATTTTGGTGCAGCTCGGACTGTGTCGGCGAGATGAGTTCTGGGCGGTGGAGCGAGCTCTATATGGACTTAGAGAATCGCCAAAGCGGTGGGCCAACTTCAGAGATGAGCGCGTCCGTGACATGGAGTGGAGGACAGAAGGAAGAGTCTTCTGGATGGATCAGTCGATTGCGGATCCTAACGTCTGGAAGGTTCTCTCGGAGATGGACACTAGTGAGGCTACGACGCGGAGCTCCTCTACGGCAAGATTGGGAGGAGCTGAGAAAGGCACGCGTCTTGAAGGCGTGGTCGTGGTCTATGTGGATGACAAATTGGCATACGGAGAAGAAGGCCTGCTCGAGGACTTCGCCCGCGAGATAAGCGCAATGTGGGAGACGAGCCAGCCGGAGAAGATTGAGGAGGGAACCAAAGTCCGCTTTTGCGGAATGGAGATATCTAGAACCGCGAGAGGGTTCTACTTGGGGCAGCAGGCCTACATCCAGGAGGTCCTCAATAGGAACGGTGGTGGTGGTCATGGGTCTGCGTTGCCGATCACCCGCGAGATGACGGAACTCCCGGAGGAGGAAAATATTCAAGCTGGAGATGTTCAGGCGGCGCAAAGGGCCGTGGGGGAGATCCTTTGGTTGACCACAAAGACGAGGCCAGACCTGATGTATGTCACGAGTAGAATGTCCTCGGCGGTGACCAAGGCGCCTAAGTGGGTGTTGCAGCTGGCGGCCCAGGTGTGGAAATACCTTCAGAAGACGAAGGAGGTTGGTCTGTGGCTGGAAGCAGAGGTGGGCACCGGTGAGTCTGGCCTGGAGGAAAGAAGAATTGAGGTCTTCACGGATGCCTCCTTCTCGCCGGGTGGCGGTCTGAGCCATGGATCTGTGGCGGTGCTGTGGAATGGTGGGGCTATTGCATGGAGAAGTTCGAGGCAGAGCTTTCCCACCATGAGCACGGCGGAGTCCGAGTTGGCGGAGTGTTTGGAGGGCATCGTGATGGGCGAAAGCGTGGAGGCGCTCGTGGCCGAGATTGAAGAGGCGGCCGGCAACCACTACGTGCGGCAGCTGCTGACGGACAGCTCATCGGCGATGGCAATAGCTTCGGAGGGAAGCGGGAGCTGGAGAACAAGGCACTTGAGAGTGAGAGCCTTCAATCTCAGATGGAGGTTGGAGGATCAGAGCTGGAGTATGCACCACGTCCCTGGTGTCCGTATGCTGGCCGACATGGGAACGAAGGCACTCAGCGGAAAAATAATGGAAGAGCTGAGAGCGCTTTGGAAGCTGGAAGGGCTTGAGAAAAAGGAGACTGGGAACCAGAACCAGCTTGGAGATCAGGGAGGGGACTTCGTCCAGGAGGAGATGACCGTGGAGAACTCTCTGAACAAGATCAAGGCGAACCTCGCAAAGGAGCAGAAGAAGTGCGGGGGCCAGAAGGCGTTTGGTGAGGTGGAAGTGGCGACAGGAGTGGTCCGTGTGATCACCGTGGCCAGCCTTATATCCCAGGCGCAGGCAGTGAAGGAGAAGCTTGAGGAGAATGGAGATGAGGAGGATGAGTCGCTCAAGGCATTGATGGTCATGGTGAGCGTGCTGTCGATTGTCCTCTTCAAGCTGATGGAGATGATGTGTGAGAGAAAGGTGGCCCCGAGGGTGAGAGCCCTGAGAGGGATATGGGCGGACCCAACCCGAGGTGAAGACGATGATGCGTCTGGAAGTGAGCAAGAGCTGGCAAGAGATGCAAGGTCTTCGACGTCGGATTCGAGACGACCGAGACCTACTTCCGTGGCGTCTTCTGTGGTGGAGTCGGCTGGGAGTGGGAGAGGGTCAGACGGGTCTGGAACCGGAGGTGCATCCTCGGTGGCAAGGCCAACGTCAAGATATGAGCCGGAGTTCGAAGAGGCGGAGACTTCGTGGGGAAGGACAACGACGGCAAGGACATCTACGTTCGGAACGAGCGCTACTACACGAAGGGGGGAGCCTTCAACCAGGGGATCGTCATCGGCAGGATCAAGCGCGGCTATGCTTGGGGCGGTCCCAAAGAAGGGAGCGTCAAAGGGCCAGAAAGGGAAGGCAAAGCAGTGGGAAGGCACGACGCAAGCAGATGATCCTGACCCGGAGAGTGATGGGGAGAGTCTGCCGACGGAGCCGTCGATCTTCCATACCGGGCAAGGGGAGAGGTACCACTTCCGTCTGAATTGCTATGGATTGCGAGAAGGGCGAGGAACGCGAGAGAAGCTGCCATGCCCAAGGTGCGTTACCCCCGATGCCCGGAGACTGCTGACCACGCTCTATGGGGAGCTTCACATCGGAACGGGGCCCGGCCTCTATCACATGGTGAGGCGATGCGCCGGCGAGAGGTACTTCACTTTGACGACCTGCCGGTGCTGTATGACGGGGCGGACAATATGAGGATGCTGCGGTTAGGACGGCTTGAGCAGTAGTTTTTGGCAGGTGCAACCAATAGAGGAATGCACCTGGGAGGAGTGCTGAACATGAAGATTCACACGGAAGCCGTTTTTTGGTCAAAGAAAAGATCCTGCAGCTGAGCAACAATAATTCCTACTCAATATATAGCCTGACGATACTTCGTTGCGGGGTGATGTCCTGTTGTACTTATACATATTTATTGAGTTTCTGTCAATTAACGATTATATCTTCTAATAAATATGACTATTCGTATTTGTGCGACGGTTATTCCCCTTCTGACGAGGCCTGTCTGAATCGATGGGCTGGACAAAAGTAAGCTGGGGGCCATCCTTCAAGGCGTGCACGATCTTCCCATCGAAGTGGCACTTGGTTGCCTGCAGCCCATTGCTTCACGAGGAATCCCAACAGAAGCACACCGCCAGTTGGTTCTCCTTCCCTGCCCATCAGGGCTGTGGAGAATGACCACTTCTGTGATACAACAGAAAGGGCTTCCCAAAGACTAATTTAATTTGATCATAGATACGGGGTGGGGATAAACCCCTTGATCCCACAACCCTGCTGCCCATCAGCCGGAAAACGCCAAGGGTTGAGGGGCTTGTGGCACAGGAAAAGGAATAGGACGTTAAACAGGGAAACCTAAAGGCTTTGCGGGAAGTGCCAGTTGGATTTCCAGGCAACCCAACACTCTCCGCTTTCCCGCCTGGGACGCCTCCACCAGACAGGTCACCAGGCCTTCCTGGCCCCTGCGCGCCGTGCGCCCCGCCGAGTGCACGAAGGCGGTGGCGTCTTGCGGGGGATCGAAGAGCACCACGTGCCGCAGCCGGGGGAAGTCCAAGCCTACGGGGAGGTCTGGAAACATGTGAGTCACTGGCTCAAAACCCGGGTATTAGAATGATCTACCCAGAACCATGCAAAGAATTAAGAAGGCGGCCGCAGCTATTTATGGTTGGGAGTGTCCCTTACTAAACTTCATCTACCCGGGTTTTGATTGTAGCTCATGTGAACCTCCTTGAATGATTGCCACAAACCGGGAGACTCTCGAATTTGCCTATGTCGAGGCTACGCTGAAATCTGTGGTAGTTTGCCATTAACCCTGTACAAAAATCAGGGGTTCAAATCCGCAAGCCACGAATTCAAACCACCAACTCAGGGTTACTTGACTGCAAATAGACCACCCCGGGAAAAACAGAAGGTCGCAAGGCCGGATGATCCCGTATTTGTTTACCACATTTTGGTGGTTTGAAGGTGTGGTTGGTGTTATTTTTATTTGATTTGAGGGTATGCTTTTTCGGGTGGATGCAAAGGAAAAGTAAAATCAGTTGGGATTGGTGGTTCCACCAAGTCTTCGCATCGGGCTTCTCCATGGGAAGTGGAATTGGTCCATGAGTATCTCGAAATTGGGTTCAGCATGGAGGCATCGAATCCTAATATGGAATGTTGTGAACCTGTGAACTGAACTCCCAAAACCAGACCTGCACCACAGTTTGAGTCAAACGTGGCGAACCTGTGGATGGGGCAACTCTTCCGTCTCCAGCGAGAAATTTGGCCCATGGACCCCGGAAAGGGGTCGATGATCCTTCGACATCAAAATCACCCACAAAATATGGATGGCTCGTCTGGAGAGTGTGCCTTTTCTTTTGGGCCAAAGGGAGCCCAATGAAATCATGGCCATTCGGGGGCTTTTGAGGATAGGGGCCAAATCGGGGAAGCCAAAAGGGCAATGGTCGACTTTGGGCACTTTTGGGCAACCGCGAGCCTCGGGCGGCCATGTCGGTGGTAAGGAGGACCCGGGAATTCCCTTCACGGAAGCACTGGGCAACAGCGCCGCGGGTCTCCAAGGGACTCTCCTCGTGCAGCGTCAGTGTCTGATAGGCAGGCCTCAGCCACAGGCGGACAGAAGTCGCTTCTTGGGCTAAGATGCCCAAGCATGTTCTTTGCACGGGTGCTGGCTCACGCAGGGTCAACCTACAATTGCCTAAACATTTCGACCTGGCTCCACCGTGAGAGGGTGCTATAAAGATGAGCCTGGACACAAATCACAGGCCGAGAACATTCACCACGGGCTATTTCGTGCGCAATCCCGGCCAAACATAGAAGCAGTGCAGAATGCCGGGCGGCTTTTCCACTTCGAGGAGGGCCTTGAGCCGCTCGCAGGCACCGCTGCACGCGCAAAAGATCATGGTCGCGCCTTCCGGGGGCAAAATGTCATCCGCTTCAAACTCCGACAACACGAAGAGGAGCTTGGCCTCGACTCTTCGACTCGACTCAGAGAATTTCAAATCTTTATTTTTTAGTATTTCGATCGGCAACTCGAAGACTTGTGGATACACTGTCATGTTTTGAAAAGCGTTTAAGCTTGAAAGCCATAGGTGACCTCGCGGAAAAATAGGTGGATTTGCCTGGCAGATGGATAACGCCAATCTGAACCGGAAACCATCTAGTTCAAATCAAGCTCGAGAAAAAGTTGGCATTTCTATGGTTAATGGCCATAGGCCGAGTGGCATCCTTGTCCCCCCGGAAGTAGTGAAAGCACTGGCGCAGAGTCGGCACCATGACGCCCACGTGGCCCACCTGCCAGGTGGTCACGAGTCCAACGGCTGCATTCAGCCATCCCATCTGGTGCCATGTGGAATATTCAACCATCCCATCTGGTGCCATGTGGAATATTCAACCATCCCATCTGGTGCCATGTGGAATATTCAACCACCCATCTCGCGCCATGTGGATTATTCAACCACCCATCTACGCCAACCCATCTGGTGCCATGTGGATTATTCAACCACCCATCTGGTGCCATGTGGATTATTCAACCATCCCATCTGGTGCCATGTGGAATATTCAACCACCCATCTCGTGCCATGTGGATTATTCAATCTGCGCCAACCCATCTGGTGCCATGTGGATTCTTCAACCACCCATCTGGTGCCATGTGGAATATTCAACCATCCCATCTGGTGCCATGTGGAATATTCAACCACCCATCTCGTGCCATGTGGATTATTCAACCACCCATCTGCGCCAACCCGTCTGGTGCCATGTGGATTATTCAACCACCCATCTGGTGCCATGTGGATTATTCAACCATCCCATCTGGCGCCATGTGGAATATTCAACCACCCATCTCGTGCCATGTGCATGTTTCAACCACCCATCAGAGCCAACCCATCTGGTGCCATGTGGACTATTCAACCACCCATCTGGTGCCATGTGGATTATTCAGCCATCCCATCTGGTGCCATGTGGAATATTCAACCACCCATCTCGTGCCATGTGGATTATTCAACCACCCATCTGCGCCAACCCATCTGGTGCCATGTGGATTATACCCATCTGGTGCCATAAGGATTATTCAATCATCCCATCTGGTGCCATGTGGATTATTCAACCACCTGGTGCCATATTATTCAACCACCCATCTGCGCCAACCCATTTGGTGCCATGTGGATTATTCAACCACCCATCTGGTGCCATGTGGGTTTTTCAACCATCCCATCTGGTGCCATGTGGATTATTCAACCACTCAGCTGGTGCCATGTGGATTATTCAACTGTGGATTATTCAACCACCCAGCTGGTGCCATGTGGATTATTCAACCATCCCATCTGGTGCCATGTGGATTGTTCAACCACCCAGCTGGTGCCATGTGGATTATTCAACCATCCCATCCCATCTGGTGCCATGTGGATTATTCAACCACCCAGCTGGTGCCATGTGGATTATCCAACCATCCCATCTGGTGCCAAGTGGATTATTCAACCACCCATCTGGTGCCAAAAGGATTATTCAATCATCCCATCTGGTGCCATGTGGAAAATTCAACCACCCATCTGGTGCCATATTATTCAACCACCCATCTGCGCCAAGCCATGCGGATCAAGAAACCACCCTCTGGCGCCATGTGGGTTATTCAACCACCCAGCTGGTGCCATGTGGATTATTCAACCATCCATCTGGTGCCATGTGGATTCTTCAGCCATCCCATCTGATGATTATTCAACCACCAAACTGGCGCCATGTGGATTATTGAGTTATCATATCTGGTATGTGGATTATTCAGCCATTCCATCTGGTGCCGTGTGGATTATTCAACCACCCAGCTGGTGCCATGTGGATTTTTCAACCGTCCCACCTGGTGCCATGTGGATTATTCAACCACGCAGCTGGTGCCATGTGGATTATTCATCCATCCCATCTGGCGCCATGTGGGTTATTCAACCACCCAGCTGGCGCCATGTGGATTATTCAACCATCCATCTGGTGCCATGTGGATTATTCAGCCATCCCATTTGGTGATTATTCAACCACCCAGCTGGTGCCATGTGGATTATTCAACCATCCCATCTGGTGCCATGTGGATTATTCAGCCATCCCATCTGGTGCCATGTGGATTATTCAACCACCCAGCTGGTGCCTGTGGATTTTTCAACCATGCCATCTGCTGCCATCATCCACCCAGCTGGTGCTATGTGGATTATTCAACCATCCCATCTGGTGCCATGTGGATTATTCTGCCATCCCATCTAGTGCCATGTGGATTATTCAACCACCCAGCTGGTGCCATGTGGATTATTCAATCATTTCATGTGGTGCCATGCGGATTATTCAGCCATCCCATCTGGTGCCATGTGGATTATTCAACCACCCAGCTGGTGCCATGTGGATTGTTCAATCATCCCATCTGGTGCCATGTGGATTATTCAACCACCCAGCTGGTGCCATGTGGATTATTCAACCTGGTGCTATGTGGATTATTCAACCATCCCATCTGGTGCCATGTGGATTATTCAACCATCCCATCTGGTGCCATGTGGATAATTCAACCACCAAGCTGGTGCCAATGTGGATAATTCAACTGTGGATTATTCAACCACCCAGCTGGTGCCATGTGGATTATTCAACCATCGCATCTGGTGCCATGTGGATTATTCAACCACCCAGCTGGTGCCATGTGGATTATTCAACCATCCCATCTGGTGCCATGTGGATTATTCAACCATCCCACCTGGTGCCATGTGGATTATTCAACCATCCCATCTGGTGCCGTCAACCATTCCATCTGGTGCCATGTGGATTATTTAACCACCCAGCTGGTGCCATGTGGATTATTCAACCATCCCATCTGGTGCCATGTGGATTATGCAACCATCCCATCTGGTGCCATGTGCATTATTCAGCCACCCAGCTGGTGCCATGTGGATTATTCAACCATCCCATCTGGTGCCATGTGGAATATTCAACCACTCAGCTGGTGCCATGTGGATTATTCAACTGTGGATTATTCAACCACCCAGCTGGTGCCATGTGGATTATTCAACCATCCCATCTGGTGCCATGTGGATTGTTCAACCACCCAGCTGGTGCCATGTGGATTATTCAACCATCCCATCCCATCTGGTGCCATGTGGATTATTCAACCACCCAGCTGGTGCCATGTGGATTATCCAACCATCCCATCTGGTGCCAAGTGGATTATTCAACCACCCAGCTGGTGCCAAGTGGATTAGATTTCCTTCATCCAGGAATCGCATGCACGCCGCTCCACTGTCTGGTGGGGAATTTTGGTTGCCCAACAGAAGCATTTCTAAAACCATTTCCAGACATCTTCCTTTTTGCGGAATCACTGTTGGGAGTTTAGTAGGAACCCACCAAACGAAAAGCGAAAAAGGTGTACCAGTGTACCACTGAACCCTACATCGTGTTTCCTTGAAACCAGATTCAGCTTTCCTTGCTTGGATTGGTGGCTTCTTGTGTCCCAGGGGGCCAAAAATTCAACTCCAAATCCAAGCAGCCAATCACAGCACCAAATAATGGATTCCTGATGGATAGCGGCAAATCTTCAGCAAAGAAATTGGGCTCCTTCAGAACCGAACTGACCCAAATCGACCCTACCCCACAAGTCACTGTTATGTCCAAACCTCATGTGTCAAGTGTCAAGCGCTCTTGGCGGGTGCCATGGGTGTCGTTTTGCGAGGGCACCCTCTTTGGTGTGGTTGTGTAAAGGTAGACCAAAAGGAAACCCACCATTTTACGGGCATCTCTTTTTGAGGGCACCCGTTTTGAAGCTTTTTCACGGCAAACCACAAGGAACCCCACCATTTTGGGAGCTCACGTCTCCCACCCGTGCTCTGAACCCGGGGTTTTGCCTGCTGGACGTGGGGAAATCGCTTCAGAAGCTCCTCCTCCCTTTGCTCCGTAAGGTGCGCCATAGCCAAATACAGCTGCAGAGCGCCCGTGGCCTCATGCATATATTCATTGTGGGTGTGGGGGTTACGCATGGTCTTTGTTTCCAAGCCCAAAAATTGGTACCACTTTTTTGAGCCACAGCCATATTATATATATATATATGCATATGTTCGAGGATTAACGTCCCCCAGATTCTAGATTTATCAGTCCCAAAAGGCACCAACACCTCACGCACGCACGCACGCACGCACGCACGCACGCACGCACGCACGCACGCACGCACGCACGCACGCACCCACGCACCCACGCACCCACGCCCGCCCGCCCGGGTAGCACATACATGTATACATTTCACATATGGCTGTGTCTTCTGCGGACGGCACCCGTTTTTTGTTTTGTTTTTTTCCAGAGGAAATCATAGGACAACCACCCCTCAACAAAAACGTGTCCATATAGATGCAACCCATATGGAACCAGAATCCAGCCACACAACACGCTATGTGCTGGCTATGTGGTTACTTTGTATTATTCTCCCTGTCGTCCCGGTTGCCATGGTTGCAACCTACCTACTGAAGATGCAAGTATCCACATTTTTTGGGTCACGATGTCTACCGCCGACTAGAAAAGGAGCCAAAGGGGCTCTGGTGCCCTTCTGTAAGCTTGGACAGAGAATTCGGCAACACACACACACGCACACACACGCACACACACGCCCATGTCTAGAGTTGCCTGACTTGAGGACATGATCAACTCACACAAATCTTAAGGGGTCACTCACCCCCAAGAAAGCGATCAAAGGAGAGCAAAAAACCCAAGACCCGTGTTGCGTTGATTTCAAGTTGCCATACTGGTGCATATTAGTTTCATGAAATCAAACCACCATCTATTGAATAACGACTGTGTATTGAAACACATTATTCACATTATATATAATAGATGTTCATGTCCTTCTGATATATACAAACGTATTTCAGGGAAGCCCAACACACACACACACACACACCCTGGAACGACCGCCCGCATTCCAAAAACGACAATGACTACATAGCTTCGGAGGCAATCTGGGCAAATTCCCCTAACCCTTCAGCTGGGCAAAGAGTACACAGAAGATGATGGCCTAACCCCAATGGACAATCAACACCAGAAACAAACACATACAGAAAAACGCACACACACACAAAATAGAGAAAACCCCGAAGTTGCGGTTTTCCTGTTGGGTTGGTTTCCCACCTTAGGCATTATCGTTCCGGGGGAAAAAAGCACAAAAAACCAAAAAACCTTTCCCGAGAGATCGAGGCGCGGCGCGGGGCTCCAAGGTCTGCAAGACTTCTTCGATGGCCAATCGCTGGGCTTCCAAGCCACCCGCGCAAAGCAGCAGATCCGCCTGGGGTGGACAGGTCGGGTGGAGTTGGGACTCCTTGGGCCCTCCAGTAGTTTGAGGTTAGAATAAGTTGGTACCCGACTTGTTTTTTCTGCAGTCTAATTCAGTAGCCCGATTTGTTTTTTCTGCAGTCTAATTTAGTAGCCCGATTTGTTTTTTCTGTAGTCTGATTTAGTAGGGGAACCCTCCCAACCAAGAAAAGGGGTGAGAAGGGCACTACTGGGGGACCTAGCCTTTCTGGGCTGCCAGCTCTCCTGCGAAAAGTTTAACTAGCCAAATTCGGAAACTCCACTAAACCCTAAACACCTGTAAGGGGATGGCTGGGAGCCACCAAGCTTTGTGGTCTTCTTTTTAGGGAAACCAGGAATCCTTCATTTTTGGGGGGTCTGGAAAAGACAGAGCCCCATGGACGCGACAAGACAGAGCCCCATGGACGCGACCAGCCGCCAGATTTTTCTTCCATCGGTTTGGGGGTGGGTCGTCTTGGTGGGGGAACTTTGAAAGCTTCTAGATGTTAAGCAAGGTCAGCAATCTCTGCTTGAGATCCACGTGAGGTCTCTTCAAAGCTCATCTCAGAATAAGGGATCCCCCCCAAATGGGCGGGGTGTCCTTTTGGTTTCCCTTTAAGGCCACCCCAAAAGGGGCACCAAGTCAAAAAGAGACAAGCCGATATGGACAAAAGCCGCCAAGGACGCAACTTGGGCTGAGACCGTATTTCTCCCGGTAACTCAGCAGCTACACATCTCACGGTCAATCTGGGAGTTTCGCCCACCTCATCAATGGCCAGGATCGTGAGATGTCCCAGCTCCGCTCGCGCCAACTTGTCAGGCGTGCCCACAAACAGCTTGCGCTCGCCTGACAATGTTCGCCGCATCTCGCCCCTGTGTGCTTCTGCTTCGGTAGCCCTGCGGTAATAGGGCATATCCAGGCGTACCCATGCTGTATTTGCATCTTTGTATGTGAGTCATAATCAACATGTGGCCGTGACTCAAAACATGTACCAAAATGGCACCTTGGAAAAAAAGGCAACAACAAACTAAAGCCTGCGGTTTGCCCTAGCTCTTTCATCTTCACACATTTCCCCCAAGTTGCAACTTAAACATCCAAACAACTCGCATTTTTAAGCTTTTGGGGCACACCTGGGCCATCTTCCGCCACATCTATGGGCCGCTTCAGGTACTTGGCCAAATGCCGCGCCACTGATGCCACTTGGTGTGCCAGCTGTTCAGTTGGCGCCAGAACGGCGGCCTGTTGATCACTGGAATCCAAACCTGGAAGCGAATCCCGGCGAAAACCACAAATGGCTGTGGGTCCAAAATAGGGTAACCCCAAAATGGCTTGCATTGGCAAACGGAAAAAGTAGACTAAAACCTGCGGTCCCCAGGTGGTTTAATTTTGACCCATACCCAAATCCTCTGACCGCTTGGGTCTCTGTCTTTTTTGAGGGTACGCTTGTTTGGGGTGTTTTGGAGCGGAAGCAAAAAGGAAAGCCACCATTTCGCGGGGTCCCCTAAAAACAATGAGCATTTGGGTATGTTATTTTTTAAGGTTGGACCCCCAAAAAAGGGCGGATTTTCCTCTTGGTTTCCCTTTCAAACCGTCAAAAAAGGGTACCCTCGAAAAAGTCATACCCATTTGGCCGTGGCTGAAAATAAAAGAGCTTGCGTTTTATGTGTTTTCCCTCCTTTTAGGGTACCAGGCTTTTTTTCGGGGGGAGATTTAAAAGGACACCACAAGGCAAACCATCTGTTGTTCTTGTTTCTTGCAAGGCGGTCCCCGAGTTGTTGTTGAAGATAAGTCTCGTTGCAGGATGGGCAGGAGGAAGGTCAGAGTCTTGCCGGAGCCGGTCTGTGCGCAAACCAGCACATCTCGCCCCGAAAGGCCCAACGGGATGGCATTTTGTTGGATGCCTCAGCTGGCCCTTAGGGACCTGAACCTTAAAAAATGATCACTTTTCGGAACCTTGACGAACTATCTCACTTCCTGAGTGGCTCGGCCAAAACAAGTCCGGACTTTTGGCTACTGGTCCGAACCCAAACAGTTTGAAGTCCAGGTACTCAGAGATACGGACCAAAAAAAGGATACTGAAAGGTGAAAAGGTCGATTCGCTTCAAGTGAGACGCTGTTGGGCGCCACGATTTTCAGCTCCCTCAGCCCCGCAGCCAAGCCAGGATGCACCAGCTGCTCAAAAGTCGCCATCAAGACGCGAAGAAACTACGAAGGAAGAAAAGGCAACTGCGCCTCGGTTGGGAATCCGAACATGGGAACAGGTGATGGATGGAACAGATGCTGATGTATCTGTATGGAGAGTTCCTGACTCAAGAAAGAGTCGATTTCTATGGCTCTTTCGGCTCTTTCCCAGGCAGATTCAACAGAACAAGCCTTCCGACCTGCAAGCCCGGGGCGATAATTGGTTTCAAGCGCCGGCACGTGCTGAGTGAGCCTTGAGATGCACTGGAGGCAGCGGCTGTTTTCTCCACAAGCGATACCCATTCAGAAACTCGCACCCCTGCGCCAGGCAAAAACGAATTACGTAGAGAAACGCTGCTCGCGCCCCAAGCAGCCCTTGACCAGGTGTGAACCGTGATGCACCTGGCTTGGTGAAACTGGCGCGATATCGCCAACCTGGAGATGTCCCACATGCCTTCACCTCAAAGCAAATAACCAGAAGTCCGGGGTGTAGGCCTCCCTTCCAGATGA